ACTCCCACCAACAGTGTAAAAACGTTCCTATTTCTCCACATCCTCTCCAGCATCTGTTTCTTCAGATTTTTTAATGATCACCATTCAAACTGGTGTCAGATGGTATCATAATGAGGTTTTGATTTGCATTTCTCTAATGACCAGTGATGATGAGCATTTTTTCATATGTTTGTTGGCCTCATAAATGTCTTCTTTTGAAAAGTGTCTGTTCAGGCCGGGTGCAGTGGCTTAATCCTGTAATCCCAGCACTTTGGGAGGCCGAGGCGGGTGGATCACGAGGTCAAGAGATTGAGACCATCCTGGTCAACATGGTGAAACCCCGTCTCTACTAAAAATACAAAAAATTAGCTGGGCATGGTGGTGTGTGCCTGTAATCCCAGCTACTCAGGAGGCTGAGGCAGAAGAATTGCCTGAACCCAGGAGGCGGAGGTTGCGATGAGCCGAGATCGCGCCATTGCACTCCAGCCTGGGTAACAGGAGTGAAACTCCGTCTCAAAAAAAAAAAAAGAAAAAAAAAGAAAAGTGTCTGTTCATATCCTTTGCCCACTTTTTGATGGGGTTGTTTTTTTCTTGTAAATTTGTTTTAGTTCTTTGTAGATTCTGGATATTAGCCCTTTGTCAGATGGGCATATTGCAAAAATTTTTTCCCATTCTGTTGGTTGCCAATTCACTCTAATGATTGTTTCTTTTGCTATGCAGAAGCTTTTAAGTTTAATTAGATCTCATTTGTCTATTTTGGCTTTTGTTGCCATTGCTTTTGGTGTTTTGGTCATGAAGTCCTTGCCTATGCCTATGTCCTGAATGGTATTGCCTCTGTTTTCTTCTAGGGTTTTTAGGGTGTTAGGTCTTACATTTAAAATTTTAATCCATCTGGAGTTAGTTTTTGTATAAGGTGTAAGGAAGGGGTCCAGTTTCTGCTTTCTGCACATGGCTAGCCAGTTTTCCCAACACCATTTATTGAACAGGGAATCCTGTCCCCGTTGCTTGTTTTTGTCAGGTTTGTCAAAGATCAGATGGTTTTAGATGTGTGCCGTTACTTCTGAGGCCTCAATTCTGTTCCATCCGCCTCGGCTTCCCAAAGTGCTGGGATTACAGGCGTGAGCCACTGTGCCCAGCTGATCTATCTCATTTTTTCTAATAGCTACATAGTATTACACTATCTGAATATACCATAATTTATTTATTTAATTGGTCCTCCCTAATGATGAACACTTGAGTTTTTTCTAGTCTGTAAATAAGTTGCAATTAATATTATCATTCATGCATCTTGATATAGTTCATCTGTAAGATTAAATTTCTAGAAGTGGAATAACTAGGGCAAGAAGTGTGAGTGTTACAATTCTGAACAGATGGCCAAATTGTTTGTTCAATTTCAGACACTGGGAGTTTATGGCCATGGTGAGAAATCCAAATGGGAGTGCCCATAGATATTGTCAGCAAGAAGTACCTGAGCACACCTGTGAGTGTGTGCTTGGCTGCTTTGGCACAGGCAGAGGATCTGGAGCAGAGTAGGTGTGGAAGTTGGGTAAGAGTGACTACTTATGCATTCACCACTTGAGAAAAGCAAAAACCCTGGTGACATAAGGCCTTCAGGCCTGATGGGCAGCTGCTCCATAGGCCCACAGATAGCAGAACTCTCCCCTACTCCCTGAGGATCAGCCTGGAGAGAAGGGAGAGGGGAGAGGGGCGGGTCTTCTGATCTGGGATGGCCCCTGAGGCATCTGGGCCAGGCTTCCCACACTTGATCTGGCCCAGCACAGATGCCTGGCCCCAGAAGGGCATAAATGGGGTTGATCTTTAAAATATCTTTCCTGAAAGAGACAAAAGCCAGCTGGATGGATTAGCCTCTGTACCAAGAGCATTTGATTACAAATCATGGTTCACATGGGATCCCCTGCGGTTGGGCAAGTAAAGCTGTGTGCAGTTTTTCCCTGCTTTTTGGTTTTTAAGAGATGGGGCTCACTCTGTTGCCCAGGCTGGAGTGCAGTGGTGCAGTCATAGGACACTGCAGCCTCGAACTCCTGGGCTCAAGAGATTCTCCTGCCTCGGCATCCCCAGTAGCTGGGACTACAGGCCCATGTCACCACAACTGGCTAATTTATAAAATTATTTATTTATTTACTTATTTTTGAGATGGAGTCTCACTCTGTTGCCCAGACTGGAGTGCAGGGGTGCAATCTCTGCTCATTGCAACATCTGCCACCTGGGTTCAAATGATTCTCCAGCCTCAGCCTCCCAAGTAGCTGGGACTACAGGGGCGTGTCACTGTGCCTGGCTAATTTTTTTATATTTTTAGTAGAGATGGGGTTTCACCATGTTGACCATGCTGGTCTCGAACTCCTGACCTCAGGCAATCTGCCTGCCTCAGCCTCCCAAAGTGCTAGGATTATAGGCATGAGCCACCCACCTGACCTCAATTTAAAAAAATTTTTTGTAGAGACAAGGTATTGCTGTGTTGCCCAGGCCAGTCTTGAACTCCTGGGCTCAAGCAATCCTCCTGCCTTGGCCTCCCAAAGTGTTGGGATTACACGCTTGAGTCACCACATCCAGCCAAATAAAACTGTGATGAACAAGCTCAGTCCTCCTTTCCACGCAGCATCACTCCCAGGCTTTACTCCTGTGGGCCCCTATTTCCCCTTCTGCAATGGAGATAGTATTCTCTGTTCTCCCCTCAGGTCCTTCCCCAGGGCTCAGGATTAGAGTAAGGGAGTGAGGCACAAGCCCAAAGTGCAAAATTTACAGGCATGCCAAAAAACAGACAAACAAAAAAACCCAAACGAGCAGTAATGAAGATAAATAATATCTTAATGCAGTATTTTAAAACTTCAAAATTAATACAAAAATATCCAGGATGGACAAAATATCAAAACTGTAAATAAAAACAGGAGCTAACCCTGCACTTTCACATCATGTCTCATAAATCCCTGGCCCTAGTTCCAATAAAACTTTGTTTACAAAAACAGGTGGCTAATGCCACGCCCCCAACCCACCCCTCACCCCTGTGGTTTGCCAATATGATTTTTAAAAACATTCTTATTTAAATATTTTGTATTGGGGTAAAATATACATCATGTAAATTTATCATTTCAACCATTTTGAGTGTACAGTTCAATGGCGATAAGAACATTCACATTGTGCAACAATATAATTTTTAAGAATATTACATTCAGGTATTAGATATAGTGATGACTGAGTTCTGGGGTGCCCCATTATAATTAAAATACCCCATTATATTAAATTTTACCCCATTATTAAAAAGTCAAAAAACTGTAGATGTTGGCGTGGATGTGGTGAAAAGGGGATGCTTATACACTGCCAGTGGTAATGTAAATTAGTACAACCTGTTAGAAAACACTACGGAGAGTCCTTAACAAACTAAAAGTACACTTTGGGGCTGGGTGGGGTGGCTCACGCCTGTAATCCCAGCACTTTGAGAGGCTGAAACTGGTGGATCTCTTGAGGCCAGGAGTTCAAGACCATCCTGGCCAACATGTCGAAATTCCGTCTCTACTAAAAATACAAAATTTAGCTGGACTGGTGGTACACGCCTATAGTCCAAGCTACTCTAGAGGCTGAGACAAGAGAATCTCTTGAACCCAGGAGGTGGAGGTAGCAGTGAGCTGAGATCTCACCATTGCACTCCAGCCTGGGCAACAGATCAAGACTGTCTCAAAAGAAAGAAAGAAAGAAAAAATTCCCACTATGAGAGGCCATGGCAGGCAAATCGTTTGAGCGCAGGAGGTTGAGACCAGCCTGGGCAGCATGGTGAAACCTCTCTCTACAAAAAATACAAAAATTAGCCCCAGGTGTGGTCGCACATGCCTGTAGTCCCAGCTACTTGGGAGGGTGGGGTGGGTAAGACGATTGCTTGAGCTGGGGAGATAGAGGCTGCAGTGAACCAAGATCGTGCCACTTCTCTCCAGCCTGGGTCACAGAGTGAGACCGAGAGAGAGAGAGAGAGAGAGAGAGAGAGAGAGAGAGAGAGAGGAAAAGAAAAAAAGAAAAGCGAGAGACGAGAAGAGCACTAAAAGTAGATTTGCCATTTGCCATTTGCCATTTGATCCAGGAATCCCACCACTGGGCATCTACCCAAAGGAAAAGAGTCATTATATAAAAAAGACACTCGCACACCTATGTTTGTTTTTTGCAGCCCAACTGACAACTGCAAAGATACGGAACCAACCTAAGTACCCATCAACCAATGAGTAGATAAAGAAAATGTAGTTGATACACACCATGGAATACTACTCAGCCATAAAAAGGAATGAAATAGTGTCTTTTGCAGCAACTTTCAGGGAGCTGGAGGCCATTATCCTAATTGAAGTGACTCAGGAATGGAAAGCCAAACACTGTATGTTCTCACTCATAAGTGGGAGCTAAGCTGTGAGGACGCAAAGGCATACAGAGTGATAAAATGGACAGTGGGAAGAATGGGAGGGGGGCTGAGACAAAAAAAAAAAAGAAAAGAAAAAAACAACCAAACGAAAAAACCCTACACATTGGGTCAGATGCACTAAAATCTCAGGATTCACCACTATATAATTCCTCCATGTAACCAAAAACCACTGGTACCCTAAAAGCTACTGAAATTTTAAAAATATTTAAAAACAAAACAAAACAAATATTTGCACCCAAGGCGAGTGTCTCACTCTCCTCTCGCTCTCTTGGGCACCTCCTGGAGCCAGAGGGTCCCACGCGGCCAGCTCCACCCTGGAAGCAGTTGAAGTTATTCCACAGGCAATCAGGCCACCGAGGATGTCCGCCCAGACAGCCACCTGGGACCTGGAGGCTTGCTCCGCCCGCGTCCGCCTGCCCTCCTTCCGCGCGGGACACACCTGGCGGGCTCGCCTCTCCCCGCCCAGGGCCACCTGGCGCACAGGTCCCGCTGCCGGGCCCGCCCCTCGCGGCAAAGCCGGGGCTCCTTGCCGGCCAATGGGAGCGCGGCATGCAAATGAGCAGGTGCGGTGGCGGCCCGCCCGGAGCGGCCTCCGGGCTCCCGGGATGTTAGAGGCGCTCAGGGCGGCAGCGAAACAGACGCCGGGCTGCGCGCTGGAAGCTGCGGTCTCCGGCCATGGCCCCCGCTCCGCCCCCCGCCGCCTCGTTCTCGCCCTCCGAGGTCCAGCGGCGCCTGGCGGCCGGCGCGTGCTGGGTCCGCCGCGGTGCCCGTCTCTACGACCTCTCCAGCTTCGTGCGGCACCACCCGGGGGGCGAGCAGCTGCTGCGGGCCAGGGCGGGCCAGGACATCAGCGCCGACCTGGACGGGCCGCCGCACAGGCACTCGGCCAACGCGCGCCGCTGGCTGGAGCAGTACTACGTGGGCGAGCTGCGCGGGGACCCGCAGGTACAGTCCGGCCGGGACCCCCCACCGCACCCCAACCCAGCCCTCCACTCCCGGGCGCGCCCCGCTCACCTGCCCTCTAGGAGAATCCAAGGTGACAGCCTCTGCCCTCCCTTCCCTCGCTTCCCCTGTCTCCTCTCCAGGCAACAGGTCACTGTCGTCCCCACAACCCCTCCTTCCTCTCTCCAGGAACTTGCTCTTCCTTCCATTCTTACCGCCTGGCCCGCCTCCGTGCTAGCTCTCCCACTTCCCTAGCACCCCTGCCCTCCAGCAACCTGGGTCCCCGTGTCTGGCCGCAGCCCCCAACGCGCCCCGTTTTTCCTTCCTCCTCCCTTATCGGCCTCTCCCTCTTTGCAACCACTCTCCGTTTCTGTTTGGATAATGGGCTCACCTGTCCCCACCTCTCCATCCCACCTCACTTCTGCTTCAAGGAGGCACGGATCAGTAGCTCTTCTCACTAGCTTGGGTTTCCTGGTGCCGCCCTAGCCTTGCCCCAAGGCTCCCGTGGGTGGGTAGAGAGGCCTGGGCCGTGTCTGGGGTGAATTGTGTCCTCCAACACCTCAGAACTCCCTTTGTATCCTGTCCTACACGTTGGCTTGGGAGTCCAGAAGAGCGAAATGAAAGGCATGAGCCGGTTTTGCTAAGGAAAAGCGACTGGCTCTTTGAACCAGACTGTGCTGAGCTGCACGCTGCTTTGCAGTACCAGCTCATGGTGGTATTTAAGTCCTTAACTAAACCTGGGGCAAGTTCTGTTATTCCCGTTTCAGAATACGGCATCTGAGGCTCAGGGAGGCTCTGATGAATGTGCCTGAGGTCAAATAGCAAAATAGTGGAAAAGCCACATGATTCTGACTCCAAAATCAATGCTGGCTCCATCCCCAAAATCTTTGGGTTGGGGAGACAGACTAGTCCACAGGATTCCAGGTAGGCTCAGGCCAGAGGCAAACCGAGTCTCTGGGTGTTCCCCAGGCTCTGGGACTGGTGACTATGGGGCCATCATACTTAGATATACAGAAGTTCCCCCTTGTCTAAGGGGATACATTCCAAGACCCTTGGCGGATGCCAAAAACCACTGATAGTACCAAACCCTAAATATGCTATGTTTCTTCCCATAGATACATACCTATGATAAAGTTAAATTTATAAATTATGAACAGTAGGAAGAGATTAATGACAATAATGAAATAGAGCAATTATAACAATATACCGCAATAAGAGCTATGTGAATGTGGTCCTTTTCTCTCAAAACCTCTTATTGTACTGTGCTCACTCTTCTTGCGATGATGTGAGATGATACAATGAGGCTGGCGTCTGGCATCCCAGCACTTTGGGAGGCCAAGGTGGGAGGATCACTTGAGCCCAGGAGTTCAAAACCAGCCTGGGCAACATAGGGAGACCTTGTCTCTATAAAAAATACCAAAATTAGCCAGGTATGGTGGCATGCACCTATAATTCTAGCTACTTGGGAGGCTAAGGTGGGAAGATCACCTGAGAGGTGGGGGTCGCAGTGAGCTGTGATTGTGCCACTACACTCCAGCTTAAGCAACAGAGTGAGACCCCCAACGCAAAAAAAAAAAAAAAAAAAAAAAAAGATGATAAGATGCCTCTATGATGTATTAGAGTGAGGTGAATGATGGGTATGGTGATGTGGCATTGGCTACTATTGAAAACTAATTTAAAGCGTATGAATTATTTCTGGAATTTGCCATTTAATTATATTTTTGGACCCAGATTGACCATGGGTTACTGAAACCATGGAAAGTGAAACCATGGATAAGGGGGGACTCCTGAAAACCAACAGCTGTCCCCTGCTTCTAGCTCTTGCTTTCAAGATGAACCCAGCCAGTACTCTTAAATCTGTGGTTGAAAGGACTTAGCACTCACTGTTTCAGGTGGCTTTTCATTGGACCATCCTACCTAATTTCTCATTCATTTATGTAATCATGTAACAGGTTCTGTAATGGGTTGATAGCACTGTGCTGGGCTTGGTGAGGCATCAATGAACAAAATAATTTGGTTCTTGTCTTCATGAAGCTAACAGGAAATGGGGAAGGAGAGGGAACACACAGATCATATAATAGTTGCTTAATTAATGGTGCTATCAGAATATGGGTCTAGAGTGGAGGAGCATAGAAAGAGCCTTCTTGAGACAGTGACATTGACGCTGAGAGCTGATTGATAGACTGGGCTTAGCCAGGTGACATGTAGCAGGAGGAATATTTCAGGCAAAGGGGACAGTATGCATGAAGGCTCTGGCAGGAAGAGCTTGCCATAGTAAAAGATGGGAGATAAAACCAATGTGGCGAGAGGCTGATGGGCAAGGACAAGGATGTCGGGGGAAGCCAAAGGTCAGCTGGGGCCACATCACATAGGGCTTCGTAGGTGTGGTCAGGATTTGCGACTTGACTCTAACAAAAATGGGAAGCCAGGTGAGCCTGGGAAGCGGGGGTTGCAGTGAGCTGAGATCGCACCACTGCTTTCTAACCTGGGCGACAGAGCGAGACTCCATCTCAAAAAAATTGGAAGTCATGGAAGAGATTCAAGTGGGGTTCATGGTCAGATCTGCATCTTTGGAAGAAGGCCCTGGCTGCAGTGTCAAGAAGGAACAGAGAAAACATAAGTGGGTGTGAGGAGATTAGGCAGAATGCTACTGTGTGACTGCTACTCAGTGGCTGTGGCCACAGGGAAAAGGGGGATGAATTTGGGAGATTCTCTAGACAATATGCTGGGGCTCAGCATTCTGCAGTGGGAGCCCAGTTTAATCTTAAAAGTTGGTGTTTGGTGTTGGGGCGTGCTGAAGGGTTTTGGAGAAGATACAAGAAAAACTGAGGGCAGGAGGCTGGGCGTGATGGCACACACCTGTAATCCCAGCACTTTGGGATGCCGAGGCAGGCGGATCACTTGAAGTCAGGGGTTTGAGACCAGCCTGGCCAACATGGCGAAACCCAATCTCTACTAAAAATGCAAAAAATTGGACAGGCGTGGCATGGCATGGTTGTGCTCTGGGCATGGTGGTGGACTCTCAGCCACTTGGGAGGCTGAGGCGGGTGGATCACTTGAGGTCAGGAGTTCAAGATCAGCGGGGGCAACATGGTAAAATCTTATCTCTGCTAAAAATACAAAAATTAGCCAGGTGTGGTGGTGTATGCCTGTAATCCCAGCTACTTGGGGAGGGGAAGCTGAGGCAGGAGAATCGTTTGCACCTGGGAGGCGGAGGTTTCAATGAGCCAAGATCACACCACTGCACTCCAGCCTGGGCAACAGAGCGAGACTTTGTCACACACACACACACACACACACACACACACACACACACACACAGACGCAGAAGAAGAAGAAAAGAAAAACTGAGTGCAGGAAATAAAAGAGGCTGAGACTGCCAGGCTTGCAGTGGCTCCTGGGGCCCGCCCTGTGTTGTCACTGTGTCCTCTACACAGGAGCCTTAGGGTGTGGCTGGTCCTTCCAACAGTATCCTGAGTGTGCTTCTGGCCACCACTGGCCAGCTGCCCCGGACAGCCCCCCTCCCAGCCCTGCTAACCCCCTAGCACCATGCTTTGCCTTGCCTGACCCTCAGAGAGGATTCAGGGACCCAGTTTACATGTGCTTCTAACCTGTATGCTCACCTGTTACCTAAGAGTCCCAGGGCAGTCTGCTGCAGATACCCCTATTTCTGGGCCCCAATCTGAGCATGCAGAACAAAACTCAAAACAATCCATCTCTAGACGCATGGCCCAAACTTGACAATGGTCACACTAGCCCAGCACACCACTGGTCTGCCTGCGTCTGCCTGCAGAGTTCTAATCTAAGAGCTAGTACAGGGTTGTCTTTAAATTGAGAGAGGGGAAGCCCAGGCACAGTGGCTCACGCCTGTAATCCCAGCACTTTGGGAGGCCAAGGTGGGTGAATCACTTGAGCACAGGAGTTCGAGACAAACATAGGCAACATGGCGAAACCCTGTCTCTACAAAAAATTAGCTGGGTGTGGTGGCTCGTGCCTATAGTCCCGGCTACTCAGGAGGCTGAGGTGGGAGGATCACTGGAGCCAGGGAGGTAGAAGTGGCAGTGAGCCAGATCATGCCAGTATACTCCAGCTTAGGTGACAGAGCAAGACCCTGCTTCAAAAAAAAAAAACAAAAACTTATGGTAAAGGTGTCAAAGGTGAAATCTGGGTGTGGGGTATCCTTTCAAAGAAATGCCTGGATGAAGATAATTTCTATTCATCTTGCTCGCTAAGCCCTTCTAGCAAGCCCCAAGCTGCCGTTTGCACTTCCCTCCTCTCCTGCTGGACCAGGGATGCTGACGCCCCTGTGGTTGGAGCCCCATCCCTGTCTCTGAAGGAGCAGAAGGGTTTTGCTGGGGAAGGCGAGTGCTATGAACCAGCGCTGTTGTTTGGGGCTCCTTTCTGAATGGTGCCCCACCTAGGGGTCTGTCCTGCTGGCTTAGCCCTTGGATGGGAGCATCCTGGCCTTTCCTCCAGGGAGAAGGCCTGACCCTGTTTGTTCCCCCTGCACCCAACTTCGCTGCACTCCCTCTATGTGCATACATTCACACTCACACGAAGGCACATTCACGAAACAAGTCCAACTTGTTTGAGCCAACATACTGTCTGCCACGGCCTTGGACAATGGGAAGCCGAGCTGCCTACCTTCAGCTGGTGACAGAGCCATGGCTGATCAGGGAAGTCCTCAGGGCAGTGGGGTCAAGAGCCTCACCCGAAGCTCAAGCCAGCACAGTGCTTTTCCAGTTGCAGCCACATGTTAGCAGAGTATAAAGTTCATTTATTGAGCTGCCACTGGCATTTTTCACCAAAGAAATAGATGAGGAAAGGACTTTAGGTCTAAATCTCCTTCCCAGGCGATACTGTTTCCCAGACTCTGGGCATCCATGAATCGCCAGCCTAGGGCTTTTTCCCCCCCAGTTTGGTGTACTATACTCTGGTTTCTCGTATAAGTATTTCACCTTTCACCAGTTTGGTGTACCACTTGAACTATCATATTTAATATT